ATATGGTCGAATTCCTTTATGCCTCTTTGGCTTGGCGAAAATTAACCAAATTTGGCTTGCTTTAAGGACTACTAATTCGTCCAAATTATCATCTACGAAATAGTAGTAGTAAATAGCTAGTGATACTTGAGATGTAAGCACCCTTTTCATCATTCGTTCACATACGGACGATTTCGTACCCCTTGAAGGGGTGTTTCATAATTACTTGTTTTCTGGAGTTACTCTTTACTGTTTGCAAACTATTTCCTCTAGTTGAATTTGCAAATTCGTTGGATAAATCATACGAAAGTAAGGAAAAGTCAAATCGTGATCAATAACTCTGGCCCGAAATTTCAGAATCAGTTAACAAGTTATCAGCTAATCAATAATTGATTGATGGATTTCTATTTCCTTTCAGGACCATTCTGTTCGCGCTGTTCTGGCTCTCATGGCTTGCGATGTTCGCCGGTGCCATCATGATCGTCGTGTTATCACCAAAGTGTGCCGAAAAACAAAAACCCGAATGGTGGCAGACCAAGGTCTCGTATCAGGTGAGACCACGACCAATGTGTCACGGAAGGTTACGTAACCACAGCCGAGCCGACAGTCGTTATCAGATTGCTGAACAGGCCGAAAAGATGACATGGAACCTCGCTGGAAAAGGGGAATTATATTTTTTCACTTGTTTCCGGGTTGGCCGTAAGAAGGGTTCAGCGGAGCGGAATGACCCCGTTCGCATGCTGATATCTTCGATTCCCATCGTATTTAGCCGAGGTAATCTGTCACGAATGGCATTGGCGCAGACAATGGAACGCTACCGTAATATTGTCGTTCTTCGTGGGAACCTCAGACTGTTCAGGGATTCACATGAAAAAAAATCCGCCGAAAACTCTCCAATACAACTTTATGATTTCACATTCCCCTCTGTTATGCTTTTGTAGATCGTTGAATCAACTTCAGGAAGACAAAAATCAATACCAATCAATATTTTTCTACGGTTGATTTGAACCATTAAATTTCAAACACGTCAAAAAATCGCTAAGCCACATAGAGATTTTTTCCAGAGTCAGTTTTGCCCAATTCATCCTTTCCACAACTTCAAGTTTTTTATTGATTTATTGACGTCAGCCGTTCCGATCGATATCATGATTTCTGAGAACGATGTTCGAAAATATTGACTGATTAACTACTGTTCGCTATCGCTTAATTATTCGACATTACACAGCCAAGCGATATATCACCGCTCAAGCGTTCACGTACGTGAGGAACCTCCAATCGATCAAATAATCAATCATCGATTCGTACCGGTTTGATCGAGGTTTCTATAAAAGACCCACAAAAGGCCGCTGTTGTTCGTGTAGAGTTCGTGCTCATTTGAATACGTGTTCAACAATGAAATGAGAAGGGATCATTTCGTTCTAGGGCTTGGCGAGAAAGCGCTACACTATAATATCATCATCAGGCGCTGAGCCGTCACCATCACGCGCCGCCGAGATGCTGCCTTAAAGCTTCCGCCTCATTCCATTTGGGATTAAGTCATCCAGATACGCATCACTGCCACGAGAAAACATAAAACTTGAATGCTCTGGCATAAAACATGTCAGGATAAGGCATTAGCGGGGTTGAGCTATCCTTTTATGGATTGCGCCACGCATTCTACTTCCATTCAGATTCGTCGAGGCATTTTTGAATGTGATGTTTCGGCGCATGAATTGTGAGGCCTGGAAGGGGGGAGGTTGGCCTCGATATACCTTGCAAAAGCTTTTTTCTGTCCTGGATGGGTTTGGTACTGATTGGGGATGCTGTGGGATGAAAGGCTTGATACCTTTACTTTAGGGAGACTCGATCCAGGACTAGGGGAGACGCGCCATGCCGTATGGTATGTAGCCGGTTGACTCTTACACGCATATCCGCTTACACGCTTTTATTTTTGATAATTATTGTAAAGACTTTCCTCAAAATTAATCTGTTTTCGCATAGTCGATGCAAATAAAATAAACAAAGTGAACATAAATTTCAAATAAACTATAAGTAAATGGGAGAACGTGCTCTAAGGGCGAAACATTGCCCGATAGCCTAACTTGTAGCGCACTTGCCTGGTAAGCGAGAGGTACGGGACGGAGTTCCGCCTGGGGCGAAGGTTCTGTTTATAGTGCAGTATTCCTTGTAAAATATTCAGTTGGGCTTTTTTGATTGTTATTTTTGATTGTTAACAATAAAAAATTATTAATTGGGTGTCTCAGTACCAAATTATAAAGTAAATTTAATATATTCTACCCTAAGTTACGTTGAAAAATGGATGTCACTAAGTGTAATCATGTGTAATAAATGATACTTTCAGCTGCTCACTCCGACCTTCTACGACACCGACAATGATGGTGTTGGAGATTTCCGAGGCGTGAGCGAGAAAATCGATCTTCTACGGAAAATCGGTGTCACAACGATCTATCCGAGCCCTGTGATCGAAATCGAGAAGGTACGTTAATGACAGAGAGTTGATGTGTGAACAGCACAGCCTGCCACCTTTCCCTTTCACCGTGGCGCTTTGTTTATTTTGAGCATTCCGCCAATGATTGCTCACCTCTCTGTTCCCTGTGAGGACAGCGTCAGGCTCGACTAAATTCGCCATCGCCAAACAGCCTCCCGAGCGCTTCACGGCGCTTTTGGGCATCAATGAAGTGCCTCGTTGACTACAGCGCCGATTAGGTCCTTCAGGCACAGAGACACTCAGACTTTCCACTTGGTAGATCTGTGTTCTCAAGCGGCAGGGTCAAGGAGACTAAATTAACCGTGAAAGTCTGCAGCAAGTAAAAAGAATCAAAAGGCTATAGCTACAAGTTCGCACGGGCTGAACGTCTGAATTTTTGGTCCATGGTTTATTAACTGCTTCAGGTTCGGGAATGAAGTGACGCTAACCAAGGAGAGATTGAGTTTAAGCGCTCAAATCTGCGTTACCTTGCTGTATCGTATACCCTTCTGCCATCTTGATTAAGACGGCGACCCTCCTTGCAAGCCTTCAATCCCTCAGGGATCAGTTGATTGGCGCTTGCAGGGCGTGGGATAAAATGCTGTGACGTGGCTCTTGGGTTACATAATAAAGGTCCAAATTGGTAATCAAATCAGGGACCGTGACTGGGTTTCATAGCGAGATCGAGCCTTGCTGTGGAAGAAGGGTAGTAATGAGAAAAACCCTCCTTTGAGTTACCTTAGTTACCTATCTTCCCATTCCGCATAATGGAATATGGACAATTTTATATAGTT